TCTAGACTGGATTACTGCAACTCCTTATTATCAGGCTGCCCTAATAAGCCATTAGACGCTCCAATTAATTCAGAACGCTGCAGGCACGAGTACTGACAGGAACTAGGGAAAAAGAGATCATATCTCTCCCGCTAATAATTAGCTTCTCTGCACTGGGCTACCTGTAAAATCAGAATACAGAATTTAAAATCGTTTCCTCCTTACCTACAAAGTTCTTTATGGTCAGGCCCCTTCATATCTTAAAGAGCTTCATAGACCTATTCCCCCACTAGAACACTGCATTCTCTGAATGTTAGAGCTACTTGGTGATTCCTATAAGGTCTCTAAATGGTATAACAGCAGGTAGAGCCTTCAGTTACCAAAGCCCTCTCCTGTGGAAACCAGCTGTCCAGTTTTGGTTCGACAGTAGTTTTTAGAGGGAAATGGAAATATTTAGTCACTTCTTCCTCCCACAGTTCCTATGCAGGTGTGGGAAGTCAGTCTTCTTGTTCATCTCTTCCCACTGAACTGGAAGCCTCTCTTTGGACAGTTTATTATTATGATTAGCTCTCACACTTCATTAGCCGCACTGACCTTTAAATTTTGACCTCTAGATCTCAAAATGGCCATTGTGTCAGGAAGGTGATATGTCCATGGGGGGTGTTTGCTCCAGTGTTATGTCATGGTTTACAGTCCAAGTCACAAATGTGACGTCAAGAAAACCCCACAGCAGGGCTAGGCCTAAAGATCCCTGAGCAGCCAGCAGTCTGTAGAGGTTGTTCTTGGTCTACAGGATGAAAGATCTCAGGGAACAGAGAGCCTTTGTGCTCAAACCACACCGCGGTGTGCCGCAAAAATGGAGGAAATTATGTAGCACAAACATGAGGTGAGTTCATCCCCTCTGCCACTCACTGTATGTTAATGGAGAGCAAAGTGCCATGTCACCACTTTTTAGCTCCACTGTAATCATAAATCACACACATATGTTTCATCCATAAAGTTAAAGCTGAAAACAGACATTTTCTACCAAAAGCTTCATGTTCTTCTTTCATTTACATGCAACATCACCTGGTGTGTTCAGCTTTTAACCAGTTACATTCTAAGTAGGGTCGACAAGCTGCTGAAACAGCATTTAAGCAAGCATTTAAGGCTAAAGCTGTTTTCTATTAAATAGCTAATTAAATTATTTTATGTGGCTCGGTACCTCCTTTGGGCAACTGTGGGGAAGATGGATTTATACTTTTGAATAAAGAGTTGTAGGAGAAATTGAAAACTACCAGGTTGTGAAAACTGTTTTGGTGTAGCTGTAATTAAAGCTGCTATAATCAATATTTTAAAATTTTATATTATTATTATTATTATTATTATATACAAAGGATTAAATCATTATGTGTATCGTGAAAGGGGCTACTGGTAGTGAGGAACCCACAGAGAATAATCACGTAACTCTGCAGCTATACGGAACATTTTGAGGATTTTTCAGCTCGTTGTTTGGGTTTTACGACCCGCAATTTCAATTGTTTTGGTTCACTCTCATCTCTCTCTCATCAGTGTTATTTGGGCATCTATTGTCAACAAGAAGCTCAAAAAATCCACTGCAAAACTTAAAACTAAATTAAACTATACGCAACACACTAAAGGCCCTGAGACTCTATAATAATGCAGGCCCCCTTATTTCAGTTTACATTGGGCTTTAGCAGTGCATAGAGTTTTACAGAATGGGCGAGAATAGACTTAGATTGCCACCTTGGATCCCTAATACTCCGGTGTTCAGAGAAAAACTCATGTTAAATGAAAAATGGTACCATTTTCTAAATATGTGCCCTTTTTTGTAAAACAGTAGCAATTTATATCAAACTTTTATGCTTTTTCTACATGTGCAATAATGATTGCTGGCTAATATGTATATTAACATTGTCCAATGGTCTGTTTGATCATGTGACGAGACAATACGCTTTATAGTAGTTAGGGCCTGTCATAATAGCATACCTACCTTACGCCAGTGGTTTCCAGCCTGGGGGTAAGGACCCTCACTAGGGGTGCCAAAACTTTGGTATAAATATCCCATCAATATTCACAGTAAATAATCTGCTAAAAATTCCTCCAAATCACTTGTTTTACACAAACATCCTTCAGTTATTGTGTTCACTGTTTCATTGTACAGTTTATCAGTTGTCTCTCTAGCTGTTTCCCTTTGTGTATGCAGCTTGAATATAATATGGAAATACCTACAATATCACTCAGTCAGTTTACTTATGATAGGGCTACAAGGGATACAAAGAGGACTCCTTTAAAGAAAAAGGTTAGGAAGCAGTGCAGTATTAGCAAGCTTATTTTAAATGTATCAAATTTACATCCAAACATGTTTTGCCTGGTTCATAATGCAGCCTTGCTTATGTCTCTGCTGTCACCGCAGTACATGCTGTTTGTCCTCTCCACCATCAGCGCCAGGGGCCCATCTAAGGCTCCCCAGGGGATCTCTGGAATGACTGCAGTTTACAAGCTCTCACCCCTATAAATTGATTTCACTGATGGGGTCAGTGTCAAAGATCTTTTAATTACTGAAACTAACATTTGCAGACGTGTGGTATATGTTTGGCTGCACTAGTTATAGAGGTAAAAGCCATTAGCCAAAGCTAATGTAAAGCAACGGCTTTATAGCAGCAATAAAACACCTCTGGACAAAAGTGACACACAGCAAAGTTTGATAGAGAAAAGGAGAAAAGGAACTGTTAACTTGATCAACTCCCTGAATCTAAATAATATCAATAGTTATAATTAGTGCATTCTTAGCAAAAATATAGAATTGATAAATAGTGTGTAATCTGTGTCTGTGTAATAAGATCCCCATCTCGCGAATCCTCTCCACCATTTCTGTTTTGCAACTTAATGGTAATGTTGAGATGTCCCCATTCCATGTTAACACCAACCTGTCAAACAGCAGTACATGGAAATAACTATTATTATCATTTTGGCCACATAGTTGCACCTTGTAAACCATGAGGAAGATCCAGGTGCTTGTGGTGCACCAGTCTTTGAACGGGAACGATCAAAGTGTCAGGGGAGGGGTTGGGTTTTTGGACCTCTACATTATTTAAACAGTACCTGTGACACTGAGAGGTAAAAGTAGCCAAGTAGTTGTGGCTTGTCTAATGAATGGCTAAAGCGAGCTGAAAGGCCACAGCTCATCCAGGCATTTTCAGTGAAGGTGTCAGTGTCAAGGAAGTGATTTAGAGGCAGGGCATTGAAAGTGAACCACCCTTTTCAATTTTGTAGCTCTTAATTCCAGTTTATCTTAATAACTGTCTCCAAGCAGAGAACTCACCTATCCTTTCTGGAAGGTCAATTGCTTTACTTATATTTATATAGTTTTATATTTCTTTTCCCGGATTTCTATTTTATTTCAGTCTTCCATTTAAAATCAAAAGATAATTATTTAATCCAAAAGGTGAAAAAAACAAGTTTGTAATAATGAATTAAGCAGGTATTAATGTTAAAATTGGGTTACATCATACTGCTTCTTAAACTCTTCTTTGTAGACTATTATTTTAAAATGTTGGGGGAAGGGGGTTGCATTTTTTTCTGAGAAAAAGCTAGATACATAAATATTAATAAAGCTGAAGAGGGCACAGCTTTTATTTTGAAAGTGGATATGATTTACACCCCTTTACATCACATGCAACAGGCATTCATTTCACAAAACAGCAACATCTGTGTAGCAGTCCGTTCAGAGCTCAGCCGGGCTTATAAATTGAATATTCAGGACTGAACGTGTGATAATGAGAACCATACAGGGCTTTTCTTGTTTTTGCCCCATAAATGTCACTCAGTGGGGAAAACCCTTCACCTCATGCTACTGCAGCCTTATCAGTAAGGGCGCAAGGCCTCTAAAGAAAACAGTAGCCGTTGACAAGGAAAACACATCCCTGGCCAGAGGCCCCTGCGCTTCACAGGATACTGCTCCGAGCAATGAAAATAAAGCCTCCTGTAAGTCCAGACCATTTAGAGACAGACGGACCCAAGCCTCTCGGAAGCCAACCCGCAAGGCAATCTGAAAGCGATGAATGTTCTGACAGTTATAAAACTGTCCAAAGAATAGAGGCTTTATAAGAACAGCAGCCTGCACAGCACCAGCACGCAGACAATGTACATTATGGGTTTAAGAACATATCTGGGGTACAGTCAAGTGGTTCATAATGAAGAGCCTTTGTCTTT